GCTCGGCGAGGCTCCGGGGAGGAACACGCGGCTTGCTCTTAGCTGCAGTAGCAACAGCAGAAGGACACGGAGATTAATTGGAATAAAACACGTTACAGAAATCTTTACAGAGAAGTCATTTACTGCGCGCAAAGTCGTTAATGAGATTTATATAAAACGCATTGTACAGAACAGTGTTCCTAAGCAGCTTGGAGATGGAGTTTTCTCTTCGGGGTTTAGCCTGCTTGTGTGATCTTTTTTTTTAATGAGTCTCTGCTGAATTTGTCAGATAAGATACATGAACCGAGTCATTCTGGTCTCTAATTCGACTGTGGTGCGGGCCGGCTGACAACCTAAGGGGGTATGAGTTCAAATCCTGGTTGGAGGTAAACTCACCTGATAATTGTCATCATCTGATTAGCCACGGTTGACTACGTACGGTGCTGTATTTTCAGATTGTAACCCGTGTTGTTTTGCATGGATTTCCGGCGTTTCTCTCCACGTCCCTGCTGGGAGCTCCATCATCGTCCTCGCGCGTAGAGCGAAACGTCGAACATCGTGCCGAACGAACGTGACGCCGTGCAGCACAACTGTGAAAACCCTTCGTGACGATGCATCTCCATCGTTGTCATATCTCTTAGTGGACATGATCATACGAGTACAAAAAGTTGACAGTGGTTATCGTATGGAGGGACCGACACAGTCATGCTAATGTGGAATTACCACCACGGGTTCAGGAGTCACAAATGGACAACATTGCCACCCCACTTATCCATTGAACGGGGAGATTGTTTTACTTGAATGGATATTCTTTGGGTATTTCGGTAAAGTCACGCAGATAGGTTAAAACATAATTTTAAAATAACCTATCTACGTGGCTTTACCAAAAGACCCAAAAGATAATCAATTCCTGCAGTCACGAAAGTTTCAAGTAAAGATTTTACTTGGAGTTAAATTTAACTTGAATATTTTGATTCCGTTTATACAAATCTGTGCAGTAGATTAAGTTTACGCTTATAAACAATTTAGATTCAGGAGGTGTCCAATCAATTTGATGCTCGTCTGTACGTTAATGCCTGCAATTTGGTGTGTTGTCATTCCTTGTAATGAAATGGGCAGCAGAAAGAGGGGGTGCCTTCCTGCGGTGTGTTGGCTGTGGTGTTTTACTCGGAGATCTTAAATTGTGGAGAGTGCGCGTTGGGAAGCAGAGAGAGAGAGACGAAACAGGAGAGACAGAGAGAGGTAAGCTGGAGCCAGGTTACTTCAAATCTTAAACACAGAAAAAGGGTGATCTTGTAATTGATTCCTGGTTGAACTGGGAGTCATGGAGGGATTTCAGGATTGGCGGGATCTCGTTTGCGGGTGAGAGTTGGAAGTCTGGTGGCGGAATCGTTTCTGGATAATCTGGAGTTTAGCAGTGAGGGATTTTGGGAGAACGTCGAAGGGAAGTTCCCAGTTGTCAGAAAGTCATGAAATCTTGAATTAGGGACACAGCAGCAGATTCGGTTAAGGACATTCCGCACGCAAGGGAGGCTATGCGGGTAGAGGTAGGAATATTTCCGAGTTGAGATAATTACAATTAATAATTTACAGCCCTTTTCTGGATGTAATAATTATAACCATAACAATATTATTTACCCAGGAAAGCCATACCGAGTCCAGGAGGGTCCTGCTAGATCGGGCCTTTCTATTTTGATATGTTTCGCTAATCTACGAGTGTGTTTATACACGTGGGAGGAAACCGGAGCAGGCAGAGAAAACACAAGCGCGTGAGGGAGCAACACTCTATCCCCGCAGAGAGAAGGAAACGCTTTTTGTACCGCCATCTCCTGGCGAGCCGCAGTGCAGGGCACCTCGATGCCCACTTGAATGGAATTTCACAACAGTTCTGTGATTCGCCAACCCTGGGCCTCCGGAATGCTGGGTTACAAGCCACGTGCTATAAACCACCACCGCCTGGATGTGAAGTGAAGCTGAGCCAAGGCAGTGTCAGTTAGGGGGATGGTTTGACCATACCTCACCATGCTGGTAAGTGTGGGTTGAGCCCACATGTCACTTCACTGCTGACGTTAGTCGTGGCTTTAGTCAAATTCAGGTCACCAGGGTTCATACAATTATGGTACGAATAATAATTGTAATTATTATATTTTAGTTTTCATTAAAGGGAACCACGCTATATTCATATATGCAATTCAGCCCTCCCTATATTGTGAAAAACACGCTGATGAGTGTGGGATGAGCCCACGTTATCACTCACTACTGATGTTAGCCGTGGCCAGGAAACAAAATAAGGTCACCACGGTCCGTACAATTATGGTACAAAGAATAATAATAATGTAGCTGTCATTAAAAGGAACCACTTTATATGCATATATGCAATTCGGCTCGCCCTGCGCTCTGGTGAATAACACGTGGGTGTATCTCACAAACACAGTAATCAATACAACCAATGGGCCTTCTAAGCCCAGGTTGTACAAAGGCACACACACACGCACAATTAACATGAATTCAGTACGATTATAAAGGTATAATTTTGTATTCACACAATTTACATTTGTGTGTGCGTAGAGCATTGTAACAGTGGTTTGGCAACGCAGCACTGGGGTCGAGACAGACGTGGTTAGCTGTGGTGCTGGCGAGAGCGCTGGGCCACATCACCCTGTTAGCATCTCGCCGCGGTGACGAGATGCTAACTACCTCGCCCGGTATGCATGAAGTCGTGGCGTTCGATCCCGACCCTGACGCGCATTACATTCGGAGTTTGCACGTTCTGCCCGTCGTCGTGTCGATTTTTCTCCGGGTCCTCCGGGTTTTCCGCACGCATTTAGAAACGCGCGTTTAAGAAGAGTATTTGCGCTGCTTTAATTGTCCACGTGAGGACAAGCGGCCGCTTCGTCGAGATATCGTTTGTGATCGCCACGTCGCTTCTGAAGAAGAGCTGAGAATAGCTCAGAGGGCCTTACCTGGTAAAATACAAAAAATAGTTTATAGTTCTTGTGCCGTTCTGGCCTTAATAGGTTCTAGCTAACAGCACCTGTAATTACACCCTATAGAGGTTAAGGAGCCGTCCATAAATGACGTCACGCACCTGGGGGGGGGTCAGACATTTGTGACGAGGGGGGGGGGGGTTGAGAAATGTGACGTCACATCAAAATGCGCAACTTTAAATAAATATAGAATTGTTATAACAACACTAATTGTTATAACAACACTCCTACAATATCAGAGTGCAGCGCCACATTAAATACGCACCACAATGACAAAAGTTTAAAGCGATTTGAAGCATGTTTTATTTTCAAAATGGAAATATGGTTTGGGGGGGGGGGGCAGAGCTTTGTGACGTCATATTTGAGGGGGGGGGTCTGACTTTTTATGACGCCGTGTGACGAGGAGGAGGGGGGGGTCAAAAATCGTCCAAAATCGCGTGACGTCATTTATGGACGGCCCCTAATATGGAATATCTGGGGGGGGGGGGGGGGGGGTGTCGCGAACGTGAATATTGCAACGAATGTTGTGAACAAAAAGTGTCAGCTTGGCTTGGACCCCCAAGGATGATGTCTTCAAAAAGAAAATCCGGTCCTGTAAAATGAAATACGCACGGCCGTTATCAATCGACCGTTCAATGAACGCCTTCTCCGAGATAATATCACCATCAGCCTGCACAGTCGTACGATTCGACGATCCAACTGGCATCCTACGCACGTGCTGATGTCATCGTTCCATCTCCACGCGAGGGGTCCTCTCTCAGGCGCGTTCGCTCTTTCGCTCTTTCGGCTCACGAATGGAACGAGCTTGAACGATCGTCGAATGCCGCAACAAATTGAAAGTCACCATGTGCGTGTGTACGTACGTGGGGAGCGGTAGTGCAGTGGTTAGCGCTACGAACCCGGCGTCCCGAGTTCGATTCCCGCTCACAGCCAACAGCAGTGACGATAATCTGAACCGGTCCTGGGCCTCCCTTAGGTCGACTCAGTCTCAAATGAGTACCTGGTGCTGTGTGTGTAGTAAACATCGCCACTGGGGAGACAAAGGCGGCCGGGCGTGGTGCTGGCCACCCACCCCCTTGTGTGCCGTGCCGGCCTTTACAGCACTTGCCCCAACAGTCTGTTAAGGCTATACGGGGGATCTTTGTCTTTTGTGTAACTTACAAATAATAAAACGACACCAAACAATAAAAATAAATACGTTACACGACAGTATTTGTTGTCGTTGTAAAAACACCAGGTTTTTCATTACCCGGACCTTGTAAGCCCAGAGACACAATTCTGTCCGCGCCGTGCGCAGTCGTTTCATCATCATCATCATTACCATGGCGAGGATTAGTCACTGGAAATAAACCCTTTCGCGTCTGGCTCCGACACACAAAGCACTCGGCCCATCACGCAGTTGTAGTGTGCACACGCACGCACAACATCCCCCCTTCGTCAATCCACTGCTGGATGAGTGCCACTCATCAACGCGCTCGTCACAGACGCGTGTGTCCGTACGTAGTCTAACTTCCTTCGCACCGTACGCAGCCAACCGTGGCTAAAATCGGAGGTGCTGTGGAAGGACAACAAAGTAAAAAAAGAAGAAGCAGTTCCAAAGGTACGAGTTTGCAATCTAGAGCGTGGAAGCGTATAGTTGAGAGGGAAATGAAGACATGCAAGCACTATCCAGGCTCAACTCTAATCTTACCTTCCAGTGGACGTGAGTGTTTATCAACATTCTTAATAATAGCCAATGTGAAATTTTGATTTAAAGCTTTCGTGACTGCAGTACTTCATATTCTTAGCTCTTTCGGTAAAGTCACGTTGAAGGGAAACAATAAAGTAATAAAATACATATAAAACAATAAAAATTCTCACGACGTTTCGACCATAACACAAACGGTCGTCATCACACCTGATGGTCGTCATCACACCTGATGACGACCGTTTGTGTTATGGTCGAAACGTCGTGAGAATTTTTATTGTTTTATATATATTTTATTATTTTATTGACGACCATTTGTGTTATGGTCGAAACATCGTGATAATTTGTATTGTTTTATATGTATTTTATTGTTTCCCTTCAACGTGACTTTACCGAAAGAGCTAAGAATATAATAACCAATGTGGTTGGCATTAATAAGTACTCAGTACGGCGTAACATCGCGTAGCTTGTCAACAACGGCGACGGGATGGGGAGCACTTTATCCAGCAGTGAATAGATGAAGGCTGACGACGATTAACCTTCACACAATGAGGAAGTAATATATGTTATTGTGATCGAGTCTGAAACGTTTGTATTTAAATAATGTTCGGACCACGCCCCGTCTCGCCTTGTCGATGGACGTTACACCTCGCCATCCTTTCCTTCCCAGTTTAACGTGACGCGTTGGGCCAAAGTTGGCACGTTAACGTTGGGTCAACGTTGGCACGTGGTTGTAACCGTTCTGCCGACTCATTTGGTAACTCCCGCCACCCCAAAAGTGGAGCAGCCCGTGCCTGCGTCACAGTTTAAATGTTTCTGTGCCTCAGTGTCATGGAATTTCATTTCACTTTCTTGGGTTGCTCTCAGTTTGTTGAACCTCTCTGCCTCAGTTCTTTGGGGGTTTCCCCCCTCCCTCCCTCCCCAAGGTCCCTCAGTGGTCGTCTCGCTGTTAACTAAGCGAATATTTATTGTTTCTAACGAAATTAATTGACGGTTGGATAGAAAGTAAATTGGAAACTCGGGGAACACTCGTTAACCCAGACTTCCCCTCGCAAATTCCAGGCACTGTGTTACCACTGCAAATGTCAGCATTCACGCCCCACTTAAATTCTTGTTTCGCTTTGTTTTGTGGACGTAAAATCATTGCAACTTTCTGAGAGCTCATTCTTACCATTGCTTTTTAAAAGTCACGATCACACACGCGCACGCATGCACACAATATTGTACAAAGCATCGTAAACATTGTGAAAAAAGATGGGGTTGTTATTTTTTTAATAAAAGCAACACAAATAAAGGAATAGCATAATACTGTAAAATGAAATCGATAAATTGTCAGCACCATTATGAAAAGGAGTCTTGAGATTAAATTATGCTTTTTCAGGAAAAGTATAAAGAATTATTATCATTTGGAGGGTCCGAATGCCGTTCTGGATTGGGCCACGTGTTGAACTTTCGCCGCAGTCGTGCGTGGCGAAAGCCTGAATTGGCAAAAACAAATCATCTGTTTCACCGTCACGCGACAAAGAAAGCTCATTGAAGAGTGCAAGCGAAAATCTTAACAAGCTCCATAAAAATAAACTTTACAACAAAAAAACTCCTTCCCTGCCCGGGCCGTTCTCAAACAGAAATGTTCGCACCGCTCCGAGAAAATTCCTTAACGGATCCCTCGCCTGACGACGCCGGCCGCACAAACCGGGAATGACCTTGGGGGGCAGAAAAAGAAAAACCCTCACCGGAGAAATGAAATGAAACACGTTACGACAATTCTCCCCAGCACGCCGTTACGGCAAGCGCCGCGCTTGGTACACAAGCTGATATTCTTGGTTCTTTCGGTAAAGTCACGTAGATATAAAATAAAATAATAATAAAATAAAATTTTAAAAATAATAAATGTAAATATTAAAAGCAAAAAACCCAGAGGCTGATCTTAGGACGAAGCCTCGCTAGCACATCGCCCACCCCCCACCCACCACCGCCACTCCCCGCGCATTCGACCGGCGGTCCGTCGCGCCGCGCTCAGTACATTTTGTCCTCGACCGAGGCTTGGCGTTGGGGGTTCACGAACACGCCGTGCGGTCCCCGCTCGCTCTCCATCGAGCCGTGGGCCATCGCCAGCGCCTCGGCCGCCCCCCGGAGCGCGTGTCGGCCGCAGCTCGAGAACGGCTCCCGTGCAGCATTCTTCCGGCTCGCAGCCACGCCGGGGCCGTGATGCTCGCGTATTGTACCGCCGCTACCAGCGCCACCGTCAGAGGGCTGCAGCCCGTGGGCCAGGATGACGGCCTCGGCCGCCCCTCGGAGCGCCGCGCCGCTGCCGGGCCACAGGTTGGGCGGCCCGTGGTCGGGATGCCGCGAGGAGCGGGAGTCGCCGCAGTGTTCGGTGAGGGCGGCCGCGGCAGATCTGATGCCCAGCTCCAAGTCTCCTTCATCTGGGGATTCGATAGTGAATGGTGATGATGATCATGGTCATTATTATTGTTGTTACAATGAATTGGAAGTACTGTAGAGGGGTAGTGCTGTGGTTATCACACAGCGCTGTGAACCTGGCTACTTGAGCAATAAAGGGTAAAGGGGGAAATGCTGCGATTGTTTTCTCACGCCGCTGCTGGCAGAAGGTCCTTACTGGAGAGAGCTCTAGAGAGCTCCCCTCTCGAGGACAATGTGGCCCACTTTTCCACGCTGGTTAGAAGTCTCGCAAGAGGTGGGAGTTACCCACACTTTACCCCACCACACGGGAGCAGCGGGGTTTGGAGAAAGATCGAATGGAACCGGCGGCCTATGTCTGCACTGCATGTCCAGTGCGCTAGGTGCCACACCATGGTGGCATCCCACAAACAACTACGGGGGCACGCACCTACCCGGTAAACATGCCAACGTCGGGCTAACGTTGGTCCAACGGTTCCAAGCGCATGCAACGTTATCCCAACGTTGGAATGTTTAACCGCGTAGCTGCCGCGGGGCGGCTCTCCACGTCATCTGATGGACTCGTGGTGATTGCCGGTACATTGTCAATGTTGGACAGCTCATGGTGAACACCTGATAGTTCCGCGCACTCGGATAGCGAGATTTGGACCTCGCAGCTTCGCGTTACAGCGGTCCATCAGCCTCGAACTCACCTACCCGCTCACTCACCTTACTCACCCAGCCACCCACTCACCCACCCACTCACCTACTCAGCAGTTCATCAGCCTCGAACACACCTACCCGCTCACTCACCTACTCACCCAGTCACCCACCCACTCACCTACTCAGCGGTCCATCAGCCTCAAACTCACCTACTCACTGCCGCTGCACGATATTCGAGACTCTTTACATGACAGACGTTTCACCAGCTCAATAGAAAATACAAGATAGAATTGTTTAATAGAGCTTACAATTTATGCATACTACGCACACGTGACAAGCTATGTTCTAAGAGTTGCACGTTTATAGATGTACTTGTATGTATGTAGAACTTATTTTGCACCGTATGTAACCAACCATGCTAATCGGAGGTGCGGGGAAAGATAACAAACTAAACACAAGATGCAGTTATAAAGAAATCTCGGTTTAAAAGTGCGTAGCTTCAGTGCCCTCCTAATATCGGAAGGAGGAGCGTTCCAGACGGCCGCAGAAGCGCATCTGATAGAGCGCGATGCCGGTGACCGCAGTCTTTGTTCGGCGCGTGCAGGTTTACGCTCAGCGGCGATATCAGCGAGGGCGTCGTGGTTCATTAGCGGCAGGCACCTCGTGTGCTTAACGAGTGCGACACTTGCGCTCGCTCGTCCCAACTCAGGCTGCCCCCTTACCAGGGTTGCAGCGCTTGGCTGTGCCGGGCCACAGGCCGAGCAGGACCTCGGGGTCCATGAAGACGTCCCTCTCTCGCAGCTTCTGCTGGAAGACCTTGCGGCGGTGGCGGAACTCGAGGACGGTCTTGGTGTACGTGTTGAGCGTCGTCACCGAGGACGCCATGCAGCAGGTGAACGAGACCCAGGCCAGGCTGCCCGATTTGCCGGGGGTCGAGGTGGAGGTCGGGTGGGTGAGTGGGGGGGGGGGGGGGGTGTTTCGAGAGAGGGACGGACGGACGGACAGGGAATTGGGAACGATTCGCTTCGTGCGGCGATTAGCAACGAGCAGCAGCAGCAGAAGCAGCAACGGGTGGTAAGTTTCCTTTGGAGATCTTCTGGCAGCTATGGCCAGGCCCGTCTATAGGGGGAGCGGGGGGCGGGGGGGGGGCGGGGCAAATTCCACTCTGTGCCCCCCCCCCTCTCGACGCCTTCAAACTAAACCCTAAGTGTTATATCTGATACCGTGACGTCGAAGCGCTGGTCCCCCCAAAGCGCGGGGCCCGGGACAGTCGCCCAAATTTGCTGTACCCGAGGGACGGCTCTGGCCGTGGCCTTGCACAGTGTTTTATATATTAATTTACATATTCCAAGGCACTGGTTATTTATTGAACCAGTGCCTTGGAATATGAATTTATTTATTCCAGGGGAGCTTCCCACACCTCTGTGGGAATACACATGATGGGACCACATGATCTAGGGACTGGACAACGACAAACCCAACAATAATGACATCACCACGGCGCTTGTTCCAGGCTAGGTGCACCTGAACAGGCAGGGCGCCACACACACACGCCAATTGTTTTTCTCACGCGTGGCATGTCTCACACACAGGTGCGCACGCGATGGCCCCATCGGCACGCCATACAATTAAAAGGGGAAGATGTCTCGCGGCGCCAATGGAGATGCAAGCGATGGTTTCTGCGAGGCCCATTCGAGAATTCCGACGCACCAGAAGGACCAGCCGTAGTCCCAGCTCTGAGGCCTCCAGTCCTCAGGCCCTAGGTGCGCCGTCACCTGGAACACGGTGGTGTACATCATGTGGGCCACCATGCCCAGCAGACCTGCGTCAGGCACACAACAGACAGAGACCCCCCCGTATAGCCTACACAGGCTGTTGGGGCAAGTGCTGTTGGACAAGGACCTATGAAGCTCTCCCATCGTATACACGGACGAATTGATAGGTCTCATGATGGCGGTCTCTAGGTGATGGATAGACAGATTTGTTTGTGATGGTGTCTCTCATAATGTATAGAGAGACTGGTCTCTGATGGAGGTCTCGACAACAGAAGACATCTGTCTCTAAAAGGGTCTGAAGACATGAATAGGCTGAATATAAGAATAGCTTTCGCCATTTTCTGGCAATAAAACAGCAGGTGTTAAGATGTTAAAACACCAAACATAAACCTTTTGCAAGGAATCATGTCTGCATTGACCACACGTACTTGTGGGGTGGTGGTGGGACACGAAGCGAATCGATGAACAACCCCCGTATTGCTGGTGCAGCAAGAACCGTGAATACCCACGCAGTGCTTCCACTAAACGGGTGTTTGGCATATGTGATGTTTCGATAATTATTATTATACACCCGGAGAAAACCCAGCATCCAATAAGTAGGGGATACCAGATCTAATCTACATACTCGATTCAGTACGCATCGACCATGACAGCAGCCTTGCTTGCACTATCTGTTGCGTGCGTTATGAGCGAAATTATCAATGCTTGGTCAATGAATCGTTGGCTCATTCCGTGCCTATTATTACACTGACTCTGTAGGCTGAGAATGGCAGATGTATGACCCCCGTGGCTTTAATTAGCAATGTTTATTTAGACTGCTGTTGAGATTTCTTTGAATCAAAATACTTTGCAGCCCCGAACACACGTCACCTTACCTCGGGGTCTTGCTCGGCTCCAATTAAAGATACAAATTGATGGGACTTGCTTCAATTATTGATAATTGAGCATTGCAAAGTGCATTATTTATGCTGCGAACACCTGACCTCAAGGCCTCTTTAACATCCGATGAGGCTTAATTTCCCCAATTAGATAACAGAGGACAAGGAGGGGGGGAGGGGGGGATCTGATACACCGCATAATGCGCATGAATAATGTACATTGACTCATTAACCCCCCCCCCCCCCCACTTTGCTGAAGAAGAGTGCAGAAGCGTGGTCACCACATCTACGCCTCTATATAAGGAAGGAAACAGGTGGACTTCTCCACAAATCTGGCTGTCCGCCTGATGAAGCTGGTTGTAATTACTGGCGAAATGTCGTACTCAGATTGTAAATGTCGTGGCTTGGCTCTCCAACACACCGGTTAGTGCTGTACTAGTGATGAATTGGCCACGTTCTGTTTACGTGACAACCCTTACTAGTTGGCTGTGTCGAGTGGTGGCGGGTTTTAACGACACATTTATATTTTTATGCGATCTAACAAAAAAACAACTTTTTTATGGATGATATAGCATATTTTTTTAAATATATAATCTATTTATCTTTACCAGGTAAGGCCCACTGAGCTACAGGGCTCTTTTTCAGAAGCGAATTGGCCACAAACGATAGCTCAACGAAGTGGCTTATCGTGTGGACATTTATAGCAGCCAAATACTCCAAACGCGTGATGTTGATTCTGAACGCGGTAGGGGAAAAAGCGGAGGACCTGGAGAAAAATCCACGCCACCACCGGGAGAACGTGCAAACTCCAAATATACAGCAGCTCGGGATCGAATTCACGACCTCATGTATACCAGGCGAGGTAGTTAACATCTCGCCACCATGGCGCCAAACCATTGACATCAGCAACATCAAATTCACCATCAACTATGGTAGGTGTTCTTGCGCAAAAAGCATGGCGTGGCATTGGGAGGCATTCTGTCTTTGTCTCAATGCAAGTCTATGGTTTTCTACGCTAAGTCTATGGGTATGCACGTAAGTCTATGGGTCTCTACGCTAAGTTCATGGGTGTGCACGTTAGTCTATGGGTCTATACGCCAAGTCTATGGGTGTGCACGTTAGTCTATGGGTCTCTAGGCTAAGGCTATGGGTGTGCACGTAAGTCTATGGGTCTATAGTTAAGTCTATGGGTGTGCACGGACGTCTATGGGTCTATACGCCAAGTTTATGGATGTGCACGTAAGTCTATGGGTCTCTAGGCTAAGTCTATGGGTGTGCACGTAAGTCTATGGGTCTCTAGGCTAAGGCTATGGGTGTGCACGTAAGTCTATGGGTCTATAGTTAAGTCTATGGGTGTGCACGGACGTCTATGGGTCTATACGCCAAGTTTATGGATGTGCACGTAAGTCTATGGGTCTCTAGGCTAAGTCTATGGGTGTGCACGTAAGTCTATGGGTCTCTAGGCTAAGGCTATGGGTGTGCACGTAAGTCTATGGGTGTGCACGTAAGTCTATAGGTCTATAGTTAAGTCTATGGGTGTGCACGGACGTCTATGGGTCTATACGCTAAGTCTATGGGTGTGCACGTAAGTCTATGGGTCTATACGCCAAGTTTATGGATGTGCACGTAAGTCTATGGGTCTCTAGGCTAAGTCTATGGGTGTGCACGTAAGTCTATGAGTCTATACGTTAAGTCTATGGGTGTGCACGTAAGTCTATGGGTCTCTAGGCTAAGGCTATGGGTGTGCACGTAAGTCTATGGGTGTGCACGTAAGTCTATGGGTCTATACGTTAAGTCTATGGGTGTGCACGTAAGTCTATGGGTCTCTAGGCTAAGTCTATGGGTGTGCACGTAAGTCTATGGGTCTATACGCAAAGTCTATGGGTGTGCATGTAAGTCTCCTAAGTCTATGTTTTGAAAAAAAGTGAAAAACAGACTTTCTGGTCTCAATGAGATCAATTCACTTGGCTATAGATACACATCTTATCTCGCTGTCTCTGACGACCTCTGTATGTTTCCATATTTATCTCACTCTATCTCCATCTGTCTCTATTTAAGTCTTCTCTATATATATATAACACTTGCTCTCTTTCTCTTACGTTCTGTGTCTCTAAATCTGTAATTTCATTGGCTAATTTATGTATCTCTCTGTCTCTCACTCTCTCTGTGTATCTCTCTTCCCCTCACTGCATATCTCTTGATCTCTTTGTCGGCGTCTTTATCTTTCTGTGTCTCTGTCATTATCTCTGAATTCATCTCTCCCCGCCCATCCATCCATTTCTCTAACCTCTCTCTCTCTCTGTATATCTCTCCGTCTGTTATCTTTAACCCCATTTCATTCTTCTCTCAAAGCCTCACCTCCTTCCGACGCCCCTCCACCCTGTCCTATCCCTTCCCCGTCCATGTCGTGACCCCCACGTGCCCTCTGGTACTCATTCCTCAACCCCCTTGCACTGCCCCTGCCATCTAAATCACTCTTAAATGTGTGTTCTAGCTTGTAAACTGCGTCAGAGGGCGCCTCGAGCTGCGAAGGCACTCACAACATCTTAAAATAACATATCTTTCTCTCCATCCCTTTCCACCTCCTTATCGCGATTCAGTTGGCGGTCGACGTTCGGAGTGGAACTGCGACCCTCCCCCGTGATCCGTGGATCAGGCAAGCCGCTCGAGACGCCGGCGATGTGCACGGCAGCGAGAGCAGCTTCTGGCGAACGCCGTCATCGCAAGAAGCCACACGTTTGGCGCAACGGCTCCTTCGCTGACTACGCGTGATGAATGAACGAAATCTCCCTATCATCTCTCTCTCTATCATCTATCTCTATCATCTCTCTATCATATCTCTCTCTATCATCTCTCCCTATCATCTCTCCCTATCATCTCTGTCTATCATCTCTCCCTATCATATCTCTCTCTATCATCTCTCTATCATCTCTCTCTATCATCTCTCTCTCTCTATAATCTCTCTATCATCTCTCTCATCTCTCTCTCATCTCTCCCTATCATCTCTCCCTATCATCTCTCTCATCTTTCTGATCTCTCTCTCTATCATCTCTCTCTATCATCTCTCTCTATAATCTCTCTCTCATCTCTCCCTATCATCTCTCCCTATCATCTCTCTCATCTCTCTCTCATCTCTCTCTCTATAATCTCTCTCTATCATCTCTCTCTATAATCTCTCTATCATCTCTCCCAATCATCTCTCTATTATCTCCCTATCATCTCTCTATCATCTCTCTCTATCATCTCTCTCTATTATCTCCCTATCATCTCTCCCTATCATCTCTCCCCATCATCTCCCCGGCGGTGAGCATGTTCCTTCCGCACCGGCCAGCACGGTGAACACCGACGCGAACGCGTTGAGCCGCAGCGCTCCGACGATGTTGCGCTGCTGGCACAGCTCCAGACACATCAGGAGGAAGCCGATCGCCAGCAGGCCGATGTACAGGGCCTCGGACGTGATGGCCAGCCACAGCACGCCTGGACGAAGGCAAGAAAGAACCATCCGGATTAGCCTTTAATAACAATGTACATTTATAAAGGCGCAATTCATGCAGGGATCTCGGTGCGCCATGCAACAAGTTAGGAAATATAAACACGGCAGAGTTCAGAGTTCACTGGAAGTGTAGGGCTGCAGGCGAAGCACGCGAGTCTTTAGAGAAGACCGAAACAAACAGGGCGGGTGAGCTCGCCTGTCGAGCCACTGGCGGGGGAGGGCGTTCCGTGGCCTCGGCGAAGCGCATGCACAGGGCACGGTCACTCGAGGTGCAGAGTCGAGTTCTGGGCACGTGGGCCAGATGTAAATGGGCTGTTCGGAGAGGTAGCGACGGTGCGTGCAGGAGTATCAGTTGTTGAATGTGACAATGGTGCGAGGCCGTTTGTGGCCTCTCGTGTGGAGCAGCAACACTTTAAATTGTACCCGAAATTTGAATGGGAAGCCAATGGCAGAGATTTAAATTACAGGGGGTGTTAATGTGCTCACGGGATGAGGCTGTCTGTAGTCGTCCCCAAAACCTTCGCCGGAAACCCCGAGGAGTAAGGAAGGCTGCCGGGGAGCAAGTGCTGTTAGCGAGTAGCAGCGCCTATTAAACTATTCAAAACTATTTTAAATGTTACCAGGTAAAGCCCACCGAGCTATGCGGCTCTGTTTCAGATGCGACCTGGCCACAAATGATCGCTCAACGAAGTGGCTCATCATCACGTGGAAATGTACAGGAGTCCAAATACTTGAATTGCATGTTTCTAAATGTGGACGTTAAAACCGGAGGACCAGGATAAAAATCCACGTGACCACGGGGAGAGTGATATGCACACTCAAAACATATACAGCAGGCATCAGGGTTGAGATCGAACCCATGACCTGCTGCATACCAGGCGAGGGAGTTCATATCTCGCCACCGTGGCGCCCTGTGAAGGACGGAACGACAGCACACGAGAGAGGTGAGTAGCCAACACCACGTCCGGTGGCCTTTGTTCCCTTCGTGTCCAGATTACCCTGGAAGTCCATTGTACCACTGAAGTCCAGTTTTCCATGGAAATAAAATTAACCATTGAAGTAGAATGCACCACGGGAGTCCAGTTTAACATGGGAGTCCAGTTTACCCTGGAAGTCAAGTTCACCATTGAAGTCCAGTTTACCATGAAAGTAAAATGAACCATTGAAGGAACATTTACCATGGGAGTCCAGTTCACCATGGCCCAATATGTGGAGGCCACATTTTTGCGGGCAAGCTAGGAAATTAAACTTCCTTGACGCCTAACGGAAAAAAAGAGTTTCGCAACATTTTCGTGACGATCCACCAAACATCGCTACAACAGTGCTGGGTCACAGTCCACGAGCATAAGCCACCACCACCATCACCACCACCCGGCGAATGACGACGTGAATGCTTATATTCATAATAAAGGTTTTTGGGTTAGATCACGTAAGTATAAATACGTCGTAACCCTCCACCGCACGACACAGCCAGGAAGGATCGTCACGTAAACAACGCCCGCCAGTTAGTTTACTACTTCAGCCGACCGGTGTGCTGGAGAGTGTATGTGTACTCACGCGATCTAACCCAAAAACCTTTACCATGAATAATATTGGTCGTGAAAGCCTGCGACGCTTTAAACTGTCTAAGCGGATGAAGCTGATGTCCTCCTCATATTAACGCGAACTAACCGCAAAAACCTCTGATGGATGAGTTTTGTTTTAGTTTTATGAAGGCAGCTCGAAGCCGCATTGAGCCCTGCAGACTGAACGAGCGCGACTCGGGTCCCGAGGTACTGTAGGTGCGTAACGAGCGGGCGTCGTGCTCGAGAGAGAGAGAGAGAGAATGCGTCGGTTACCGCGCTCGGCGGAGGGGATGAGATCCACGAAGCTGCGGCATTGCTCGCCTGCCGGGGGGGGGGGGGGGCAACACAGAACGGGGCAGGGTGGAACACATCGCGGCAGTCACTCAAGCGCGCAAGGGGGGGGGGGGGTGGCTGGAGAGAGGATTAACGAGCGGTGGGCACGGGCAGCCGCTGACAACGCCAGTAACGGGCACCGTGACGCGCGCGTTATAAGCGGCACTCTTCACGACGTGACACGCGCGTTATAAGCGGCGTGCGTGTTTGCCATTCGCGAGCGGCGGCGGCGGCGAGTGGGGGGAGCGGCAGCGCGGTGGTCAGCGCCACGCGCTACGAAAACCCAGCCAGCCGTGTTCGATTCCCGCTCACGGCCAGCAGCGACGATTGTCTGAACATCTCCTGGGCCTCCCCTAGGTAGACTCAGCCTCGCCCTGGTGTGGTTGTGTAAACATCGCCACTAGGGAGACAAAGGCGGTCGGGCGTGGTGCTGGTCACCCATCCCCTCGCTAACAGCACCTGCCCCAAAAGTCTGTGGAAACCAGGTGAACTTTGAGGCCACGTGAAGTGTGCGGAGGCTCGCTGCTAGAAGGTGGACAGACCCAGGTGCAACAGGTTGACTCATTGAGATGACTGGCAGATGCACCAGCTGTGCTTCCGACTGTGCCAATTCGCTGCGTTTTATCCGCCCGATGCTCCGCTCGTTGTTGTGAGCGTCGCTCCTCTGCCCTCCGTTGTTGCTGGAGGGCGACTGCCTCCAACTGCCCAGCAGCAGCGTCCTTCACGACCCTCCTCCACAGAGGCCGATCTTGACACCGCTGGTACCGGCCACCGGCAAGTCCACTCAGCTCCACGTCCTCCCGCACCGTGCCAGCTTCATCTCTTCTCTAGCCTTTACCACGCCCGTTTACCCCACTCCCTACCGTGTCACCGTGTCTCATAAGACGAAGATCCCCCATGTAGCCTCGAGGTTGAGTCGACCTAGGGGAGGCACAGGGCCGGTTCAGATAACCGTCGCTGGTGTTGGCCAGCGAGCGGGAATCGAACCACTAACAGCGCTACCGCTCCCCACAGGTGCCAGCACACACGCGGAGTAGAGGGGGTGGGGTGGGGTAGATGGGCAGGCAGGTAGGTGAACCTTCTTTGTAGATGTTCTCCTCGCACGACAGCCAGAAACCCGTGTGGAAGAAGCGGTAGGCGTACTTGTCGTCGCCGGTGTCCCACGTGTAGCGGACGACGTGCACGCTCCTGTAGCTCACGGCGCCCACCGGGCCGTCGCGCGACGCATTGACGCCACCGCCGGCACCGCCGGCGGTGGCGGCGCTGGCCACGAGGATCTCCTCGCCGCCCACCGTGGTGCCGTTCATGTGCACGCAGTTCACGTGCTGGCCACGCTCCGGGTTGCAGATGGGCTTCACCACCTTGTGGATGCCCTGGCACCAGTAGGTGGAGAGGAACGCCGTGCTCGAGAAGCCCAGCGCCAGCACGTTGAGCGCGATGGCCACCACCGTGCGGCGCTGTCTCGTCACCTGGAGCATCCTTCGGGTCGCGCTGGTGCGGGGTTGCGGCGCGCCGATTGGACACAGATGCTTGGACACAGATGGACGGACGGACGGACGGATGAATGGACAGATGGATGGAGGGATGGATGGATAGATAGAGGGATGGATCGACGCATGGACGGATGGATGGAGGGATGAATGAACAAATGGATGGATGAATGGACGGATGGATGAATGCATGGACAGATGAATGGATAGATGGACAGATGGATTGAGGAATGAATGGACGAATGGATGGATAGATGAATGGATGGACGGACGGTTACATTTCGACAAAGAGGTATCTTATTCTCGACCCCTCCTTCCGTAATTGTGATGATCATGAGTTGAGTCAACCTCCGCCCTTGACAGGATTGGAACCTACAACATCTCCGAGACGAGCGATGTGTTTAACATTACATCGCGTTTTTGTAATTTTTTCCCCCCTTCCTTGAAGAAATATTGCCGATGTGAAAACACAAATGCCCTTGAGATATCGAGATAACATTACACTTTGGAGTCCCGTTTCCAAAAACACATTCCTGCGGAGGGAGCTGGTAGGAACGTTGGGTTGCTCGGTCAATGGCCAGGGTCAACCGCGGCACCACGTGGTGTATTCCGCAAATATGCCCAACTGTGAGGGCGGGCACAAGCCGGCGTGAGTAGGTTAAACGTTGAGTTTTATAAGGGCACCACGGGGTGACCAGCCCCTCCCCACCCAGCCCCACCCCTCCCACCCAGCCCCACCCCTCCCACCCCCCACCCAGCCCCACCCTCCCCACCCCCCACCCAGCCCCACCCCCCACCCAGCCCCACCCTCCCCACCCAGCCCCTCCCCACCCAGCCCCTCCCCACCCTCCCCAGCCCCTCCCCACCCAGCCCCTCCCCACCCTCCCCTCTTCACCCAGCCCCACCCCTCCCATTTTATCCGGGTTTCCATATACACGTGGACAGACATCCACAGACATACACAATGAATCCCCTGCCTCCTGTGAATTAATCCTGGTTGGGCTTCCAGTCCACTACGATTCCTACCAGTAATGCCCACTAGGAGCGCATTTGTTATATATATCCGGGTGTCCGGATACACGTGGACAGACATCCACAGACATACACAATTAATCCCCTGCCTCCTGTGATAATCTCGGTTGGGCTTCCAGTCCACTACGTTTCCTACCAGTATTAACCTCGCCATGCGAACGTCTGCCGTGAGCTTCGTCGCATCGGACAGAATTATTTGGAGAAAGAGGAATGGAAAAGTATAAACAAGCCACGGCAGTGTGATTGTGGCCATGCAACCAAAACACTACGGAACGCATCGTAAACCCACAGAGACATACATTGAGAAAAATACAGATACACAGAGAACCTTATACTGTAGATACAAGGATATACAGAGGCATTAAAGGCAAGCCACGGTAGTGTGATTGTGGCCATGCAACCCACGCTATGGACCGCACAGTAAACCAGGAGGAGAAACAGCGAATTCTCGTTCTGCTGAAGCCCTCTCGTCGTGGCCAGCAGCAGCAGACCGCCTCGACATTGGTGACAGCGACCTCGTGAACCCCATCCACAGACATACACACACACATACCCATCCACAGAGACACATACACACATACACACATACCCATCCACAGAGACACATACACATACCCATCCACAGAGACACACACACACATACCCATCCACAGAGACAGAGACACACACACACATAGCTATCCACAGAGACACACACACCTATCCACAGACAAAAATAAAGATCCCCCATATAGCCTTAACAGACTGTAGGGGCAAGTGCTGTTAGCGAGCACCTATGAAGGCCGGAACGGTACACGAGGGGGTGGGTGGCCAGCACCACGCCCGACCGCCTTTGTCTCCCTAGTGGCAATGTTTACACACCGCACCAGGTACTCATTTGAGGCTGAGTCGACCTAGGAGATGCCCGGGACCGGTTCAGATAATCGTCACTGGTGTTGGCCGTGAGCGGGGGTTCATAGCGCAGCGCGCTAACCGCTACACTATCGCTCCCGACAGACACACACACACATACACACACACACGGACACACACACACATACCCATCCACAGAGACACCCATCCACAGAGACACACATACCCATCCACAGAGACACACATACCCATCCACAGAGACACACACACACCCACCACAGAGACACACATACCCATCCACAAAGACACACACACCCATCCACAGAGGCACACACACACACCCATCCACAGAGACACACACCCATCCACAGAGACACACACACATACCCACCCACACAAACACACACATACCCATCCACAGAGACACACACACCCATCCACAGAGACACACACACGCACCCATCCACAAAGACACACACATACCCATCTACAGAGACACATACACACACACACCCATCCACAGAGACACACACACAAGCACGCTCATACCACCACCGCACACACACCCCTCGCAAACAACCACACACAGTCACCACCAATCCAGCATCCACAAAATACAGACTGCCCCCGTATAGCCTCTAGCAGTCTGTCAGCGAGCACCTATTAAGGTTGACACGACGCTTCAAGATGAGGGTGCGGTCACCACCGCGCCCGGCCGCTTTTGTCTCCCTCGTGCCAACGTAAACACTGATTTGAGGCTGAGTCTACTTAAGGGAGGCGCCAGGACCGGTTCTGAAAGCACTCGCCACTGGCGTTAACCGCGGCTCGGAATCACGGCGCAGTGCGCTAACCACTGCGCCACCCATCACTCGCCATATCCCTCGACATAACATACCTACACCCCCTCAGCATATACTTACCCACAAAGCACATGCCGATACACGCAGCACATATCTACTCAGTACCACATTACTACCCAATATCGACATTGTCGATACCTCCAAACAAATATCACACTAATTAATAATATTAATTAATTAGTTAATTTCTCGCACCTCCGATTAGCACGGTTGGCTACGTATGGTGAAAAATAAGTCCAACATACATACATAGTCAATTGTTCAGCCACTGTGTATATACAGCTGGGGTATTCAGTTCTCACCCGGCACCTATCTCCTACTCACTACCCACCCAGCACCTACCTCCTACTCACTACCCACCCGGCACCTACCTCTTACTCACTACCCACCCGGCGCCTACCTCTTACTCACTACCCACCCAGCACCTACCTCTTACTCACTACCCACCCAGCACCTACCTCTTACTCACTACCCACCCAGCACCTACCTCCTACTCACTATCCACACGGCACCTACCTCCTAACCACCACCCACACGGCACCTACCTCCTACTCACTACCCACCCAGGCACCTACCTCCTACTCACTACCCACCCAGCACCTACCTCTTACTCACTACCCACCCGGCACCTACCTCCTACTCACTACCCACCCAGGCACCTACCTCTTACTCACTACCCACCAGGCACCTACCTCCTACTCACTACCCACCCAGCACCTACCTCTTACTCACTACCCACCCGACACCTACCTCCTACTCACTACCCACCCGGCACCTACCTCCTACTCACTACCCACCCGGCACCTACCTCTTACTCACTACTCATCCAGCACCTACCTCCTACTCACTACCCACCCGGCACCTACCTCTTACTCACTACCCACCCGGCATCTACCTCTTACTTACTACCCACCCAGCACCTACCTCTTACTCACTACCCATCCAGCACCTACCTCTTACTCACTATCCACCCAGCACCTACCTCCTACTCACTACCCACCCAGCACCTACCTCTTACTCACTACCCACCCAGCACCTACCTCTTACTCACTACCCACCCAGCACCTACCTCCTACTCACTATCCACACGGCACCTACCTCCTAACCACTACCCACACGGCACCTACCTCCTACTCACTACCCACCCAGGCACCTACCTCCTACTCACTACCCACCCAGCACCTACCTCTTACTCACTACCCACCCGGCACCTACCTCCTACTCACTACCCACCCAGGCACCTACCTCTTACTCACTACCCACCAGGCACCTACCTCCTACTCACTACCCACCCAGCACCTACCTCTTACTCACTACCCACCCGACACCTACCTCCTACTCACTACCCACCCGGCACCTACCTCCTACTCACTACCCACCCGGCACCTACCTCTTACTCACTACTCATCCAGCACCTACCTCCTACTCACTACCCACCCGGCACCTACCTCTTACTCACTACCCACCCGGCATCTACCTCTTACTTACTACCCACCCAGCACCTACCTCTTACTCACTACCCATCCAGCACCTACCTCTTACTCACTACCCACCCAGCACCTACCTCCTACTCATTACCCACACGGATCCTACCTCCTACTCACTACCCACCCAGGCACCTACCTCCTACTCACTACCCACCCAGCACCTACCTCTTACTCACTACCCATCCGGCACCTACCTCCTACTCACTACCCACCCAGGCACCTACCTCTTACTACCCACCAGGCACCTACCTCCTACTCACTACCCACCCAGCACTTACCTCTTACTCACTACCCACCCGGCACCTACCTCCTACTCACTACCCACCCGGCACCTACCTCCTACTCACTACCCACCCAGCACCTACCTCTTACTACCCACCCAGCACCTACCTCCTACTCACTATCCACACGGCACCTACCTCCTAACCACTACCCACACGGCACCTACCTCCTACTCACTACCCACCCAGGCACCTACCTCCTACTCACTACCCACCCAGCACCTACCTCTTACTCACTACCCACCCGGCACCTACCTCCTACTCACTACCCACCCAGGCACCTACCTCTTACTCACTACCCACCAGGCACCTACCTCCTACTCACTACCCACCCAGCACCTACCTCTTACTCACTACCCACCCGACACCTACCTCCTACTCACTACCCACCCGGCACCTACCTCCTACTCACTACCCACCCGGCACCTACCTCTTACTCACTACTCATCCAGCACCTACCTCCTACTCACTACCCACCCGGCACCTACCTCTTACTCACTACTCACCCGGCATCTACCTCTTACTTACTACCCACCCAGCACCTACCTCTTACTCACTACCCATCCAGCACCTACCTCTTACTCACTACCCACCCAGCACCTACCTCCTACTCACTACCCACACGGATCCTACCTCCTACTCACTACCCACACGGCACCTACCTCTTACTCACTACCCACCCAGGCACCTACCTCCTACTCACTACCCACCCAGCACCTACCTCTTACTCACTACCCATCCGGCACCTACCTCCTACTCACTACCCACCCAGGCACCTACCTCTTACTACCCACCAGGCACCTACCTCCTACTCACTACCCACCCGGCACCTACCTCCTACTCACTACCCACCCGGCACCTACCTCCTACTCACTACCCACCCAGCACCTACCTCCTACTCACTACCCACCCGGCACCTACCTCCTACTCACTACCCACCCGGCACCTACCTCCTACTCACTACCCACCCGGCACCTACCTCCTACTCACTACCCACCCGGCACCTACCTCTTACTCACTACCCACCCAGCACCTACTTCCTACTCACTACCCATCCGGCACCTACCTCATACTCACTACCCACCCGACACCTACCTCTTACTCACTACCCACCAGGCACCTACCTCCTACTCACTACCCACCCAGCACCTACCTCTTACTCACTACCCACCCAGCACCTACCTCTTACTCACTACCCATCCAGCACCTACCTCTTACTCACTACCCACCCAGCACCTACCTCCTACTCACTACCCACCTGGCACCTACCTCCTACTCACTACCCACCCGGCACCTACCTCCTACTCACTACCCACCCGGCACCTACCTCCTACTCACTACCCACCCAGCACCTACCTCCTACTCACTACCCACCCGGCACCTACCTCCTACTCACTACCCACCCGGCACCTACCTCCTACTCACTACCCACCCGGCACCTACCTCCTACTCACTACCCACCCGGCACCTACCTCTTACTCACTACCCACCCAGCACCTACTTCCTACTCACTACCCATCCGGCACCTACCTCATACTCACTACCCACCCGACACCTACCTCTTACTCACTACCCACCAGGCACCTACCTCCTACTCACTACCCACCCAGCACCTACCTCTTACTCACTACCCACCCAGCACCTACCTCTTACTCACTACCCATCCAGCACCTACCTCTTACTCACTACCCACCCAGCACCTACCTCCTACTCACTACCCACCTGGCACCTACCTCCTACTCACTACCCACCCAGCACCTACCTCCTACTCACTACCCACCCGGCACCTACCTCCTACTCACTACCCACCCAGCACCTACCTCCTACTCACTACCCACCTACCTGCCACCTCGGCCACCTCCACGCGCACTGCACGCGCGCTCCGCTGTCAGCGCTGCGCATGCGAGGCGAGAGGGAATGACGGCAGAGCCGTGTTCAGGGTGAGTGTGTGTGGATGTGTGTGGATGTGTGTGTGTGGATGTGTGTGTGTGGATGTGTGTGTGTGGATGTGACGATGATGTGAACCGGTCCTGGGCCTCCCCTAAGTCGACTCGGCCTCAAATGAGTACCTGGTGCGTGTGTGTAAACATCGCCACTAGGGAGACAAAGGCGGCCGGGCTTGGTGTTGGCCACCCACCCCCTCGTGTGCCATGCCGGTCTTTATAGGTGCTCGCTAACAGCACTTGCCTCAACAGTCTGTTAAGGCTATACGGGGCATCTTTGTGTGTGTGTACGTGCGTGCAAACACGGGGAGCGGTGGCGCAGTGGTTAGCGCCGCCACTCACATCGGTTACGATTATCAGAAAGCCCACACTGTGTCACCCACACGGTTTAACCTCATATTCTTGTTCGGGGAAATTGCGTTTTCAAGTCCATACGCCGTACAGCCGTTTCAATAGGGCAAAGAAATTGTGTTTTTGTCTATTTGTTTGTGTCTCTCCCTTGTGATGGGACTTTGTAGGATGAACGTTGATTTTTATAAGGGCACGGGGTGACCAGTAAGGTTTGAATTGTTCTGGAATAAGGTGAGACACTGATAAGGGGTTGACAGGTATTGAAACCGGTCCTGGGCCTCCCCCCCACTCGATCGACTCAGCAGCAAATGAGTACCTGGTGCGGTGTGTAAACATCGCCAGGGGTGGGGGGGGGAGACAAAGGCGGCCGGGCGTGGTCCTGGCCACCCCACCCCCTTGTGTGCCGTGTTCCGTGCCGGCCTTCATAGGTGCTGCTCGCAAACAGCACTTGCCCCAACAGTCGGGATATTTGTCTTTGTGGACAACCACGACGTCTTAATTTGACGAGTAAGCACATTTGAAAACGTGCTTTAATAAAGGCATAGTGAACTGTACTATCTGTTGTATTACAATTAACCGGGTGTGTTATCTAGTGTTTTGTAATTACTCGTGTGATATTTATTGCGTCATAGTGTAGCTGTGTGTGATATTTATTGCATTATAATTTACACACCGTTCCTTTTATGCGTAATGAATGGGTGGCGATGCTGGTCTCCTTCGGCTATGCGTGGAAGAACGGTGGAATTTGCATATTACCATGCCGGAGACCAGTCTGCCTTAAAACACAATTCCTTCAAAATAAAAAAAACACAAAGCGTAAAGTAGGTGACGCTTCGAGCGACGGCCATTCTTTACATCACCACATAATTTGTGTAGAACAGTTAATATAAAAAAATGTCCATACTTCATTATATAATTGTAAAAAAAGTTTTGCTGGCTGGCACGCGGGCGGGCAAGGCTGCGGTGGTGAGGTCACCGCGCATGTCACAACAACTCTCGTTTAGACGATCCAATTAAGGAGGACAACTTTTAGAATTAACTTTCTCTTGCTGTTAAGCAATTGCCCGAGGGGAGAAAAATCTGATCACATCGTTGAAAGTGTTGGTGACACTGTATCGACACAAGCACTGCTTCCCCCCTATGCTCCGTTGGGAATTGATAAAGGCTACCGTATTTCCTCTACTTGATTACTGTGACATCGTATATAAATCAGCCCCCAGTACTGTACTGAAGAAGCTTGACTCAATTTATCACTCGGCCTTAAGATTTGCATTGAACTGCCCATATAGGACCCACCACTGTGATCTCTACATTGGGTCAAACTTAACATCTCTTAATGATCGACGGCTTGTGCACCAGATCTTATTTATTCACGATGTACTTACAAAAAAATCACCAGACTACCTGCTGGATCTCCTCACTGTTTCGAAGAACAAATGTGACCTAAGGTCCTCGCTCATTTACCAGCTTCACATTCCTTATTGCCGTACAAATACTGAAGGAAGGGCCTTTGCTGTTGATGCCCCCAGGGTCTGGAATCCTATCACCAATAAACTGCAACTTGGATCACTACCTGTGAGATCTTCACTCAAAACTGCTCTAGAGGAGTTGTACACCCCTAGCTGCCACTGCTATTCAGTGGCCTGAAATCAACTGCATCGCTCCGGATGACCGCTGCAAAGTATGATCTTGAGTTTTGATTATAGTGTGCTGATCTTTAAAGGTGCATTGAAAAATGTTGATACTGCTACTGATCCTCCTGCTGTTATGGAGTGACTCATGCTGCCAGCTATGGCTGCAAAGTTTGGTCGTACATGTTATGGATATAGTTTACTGTTAAATTTGAATCACAGTTCCTATGATCACTGTTAACATTGTTTTTATAGCTTTACTTTGGTGATTTCGGATACGTTTTGGTTTAGCCATGTTTGTTGGTTGCAGTACAGAGTTAGACTGATAACTTGAATCTAAATTGTCTTATGGTTGTTATTGTTTGACTTGCATCCCACTGGGATTTTTGCACACAGCGTTGATACACGGTTTTTATTTCTGGAAGACTTCGCTGTTTTTTCCTGGATTTTTCTGTTGCGCGTAGTCACTTTACGATGTTTCTTGTTCACGTTTTTGTTTGTTGCGGTTGCATCCGAGTCAAGAGCCGCATGGCTCGCAGGGCTTTATCAAATAAATGCAATGAAAACTGAAACTGACACGACGCAGTGTCACCAAACTGGTCCGTGACACTGGACGAAACCGTTGCAGGGGCTTCCCTCGCTCTACGCCGTAGTAGCCGTAGTCGTGGTGGTACTGCGTTCCAAAGAAAGGGTGGTGCACAAAGCGAAGCGGCACGGAGAGACAGCTGCCTTCCGAATAGCGTACACAGCACACACGCAGTACACACGCAGTACACACGCAGTACACACACAGTACACACACAGTACACACACAGTACACACACAGCACCAAGGCCGTAGGCATGGAGTCAACATTGGGAGGAACCAAATCTTCCATGGGGCCTGGGGGTCCCAACCCAGAAAATTATCTACATTTTAAAACGAATTTTCTGCCATTTCCTACCTAAAAATATTTTAAAAATTCACTAACACATGGGATGGACTTTTTATTTTATTTTTTACAATAATGTCTAATAGTGTATTGTATTACATTGCTCTGTTTTTACTTTTTTTTACCATTTCTTGTTTCATTGTATGTAATGTTTGAGATTAGGAATTAATAAAGAAGAACCATAATCATATTAACACAAATCTATGCATTGATTTATATGAAGACAAGTCCAGATATTGTGGCCAAGGTTTAGCAAATTGTTCTTTTTATTTACATAGCATAGCAATTATTATTACTTTTTATATTTTTATAGCAATATATTGGGGGGAATATTTTGAGCATATTTGAATTTTGGGGGGATGTCTCCCCCAATATTTATATAAGTACGGCCTTGCACAGCACACACTACATATCGTACACGCAAAGTATACACACAGTACACACACAATGTTGTATCTCTGTGTATGTACCTGTGTGTATGTGTCTCAGTGTATCTCTCCGTAAGTAGTTTTGTGTGCCAAATAGCTGCTTGCCCGCACAGCACACACACACAGTGCACACACACAGCACACACACAGTACACACACAGTACACACACATAGTACACACATACAGTACACACAGTACACACACAAGAGTATACACACACGGTACACACAGAGTACACACACACAGTACACACACACACTGTACACAAACACAGAGTACACACACACAGTACACACACAGAGTACACACACACAGTACACACACAGAGTACACACACAGTACACACACACACAGTACACAAGCACAGTGCACACACACAGTACACACACACACAGTACACACACACAGTGCACACACAGAGTACACACACAGTACACACACAGTACACACACACAGTACACACACACAGTGCACACACAGAGTACACACACAGCACACACAGTACACACACACACAGTACACACACAGTACACACACACAGCACACACACAGTACACACACAGTGCACACACAGAGTACACACACACAGTACACACACACACAGTGCACACACAGAGTACACACACAGCACACACAGTACACACACAGCACACACAGTACACACACACAGCACACACAGTACACACACAGTACACACATACAGCACACACACAGTACACACAGTACACACACACACACAGCACACACAGTACACACACAGTACACACACACAGTACACACACAGTACACGCAGTACACACACACAGAGTACACACACAGTACACACATACAGCACACACACAGTACACACAGTACACACACACACACAGCACACACAGTACACACACAGTACACACACACAGTACACACACAGTACACGCAGTACACACACACAGAGTACACACACACAGTACACACACACCGCACACACAGTACACACACACACACAGTACACACACAGTACACACACACACAGTACACACACAGTACACACACACTACACACACAGAGTACACACACAGTACACACACAGTACACACACACACTACACACACAGAGTACACACAGTACACACACACTACACACACACACAGAGTACACACAGTACACACACACTACACACACACACTACACACACACAGTACACACACAGTACACACACACACTACACACACACAGTACACACACACACTACACACACAGTACACACACACAGTACACACACAGAGTACACACACAGTACACACACACACAGTACACAAGCACAGTGCACACACACAGTACACACACACACAGTACACACACACAGTGCACACACAGAGTACACACACAGTACACACACAGTACACACACACAGTACACACACACAGTGCACACACAGAGTACACACACAGCACACACAGTACACACACACACAGTACACACACAGTACACACACACAGCACACACACAGTACACACACAGTGCACACACAGAGTACACACACACAGTACACACACAGTACACACACACACAGTGCACACACAGAGTACACACACAGCACACACAGTACACACACAGCACACACAGTACACACACACACACAGCACACACAGTACACACACACAGCACACACACAGTACACATACACAGTG